CGATAGAGGCGAAATGGTAGAGGCCCGTGCACTGTGCGATGTCAGTGCACATCAAAGAACACCAGATGGTCAGAATGTTTGGAGCCCTCCAGTATGGTGTCTCCTATAATCTTATGGTGGTTTTGAAATGTAAAACCCCAGATATTATTATTGACTGCTTCGTAAAGCCATTATGTGCTACTCCAAAAAGAAATTTTGTATGCCCCAGAAGCTGTGCCTAAGCGGCTTCAGTCAATCTCATCGTTAGGAAAAGAAAAAAGACGACAGGGAGAGAATAGTATCTGAGTTTTGTGCTTGAAAGGGTTTGATTTACGTCACTGTGTTGCAAAGGTTGAAGCCCATGCTTTTGTGACCCGCATGCAATCATGCATGAGCAAACAAAGAAAGGAATGTGAACATTGTGATGAGGCTGCCAAGTTATTTTGCATTCATGTCATTTCGGTGCTCTCGGCAATCGGCCTCTCTGAAAAACGTCGGCCCAATGCAACCAACAAAGTGCGCTATAAACAAGCCGATGCACTCGGAAGCACTGAACAACTGACTAAAGCAACGTAATTCAAAGACACCACCAGCAGTGCACAAAGAAGGGACAAGTACTTGTTGAAACGTGGCTGAGAGGTGATCAATAAGCATTCTCGAAGATGCCATTCTTGAGCAGAGGGCATCAACGGCTTCCTCGCTGTCAGCAGTGGCCCTTTGGCTGTTGTTGATGGGCACGCACATTGTCCTTCTGAATTTCTTCTTCCACTGGTTCATATGTACTAGGCTTGTGCGAATAGAGAACTTTAGGTTCGAAGCGAATAGTGGTTTTGGTCGAATAATTTCGAATCGCGTTTGAAGAGTTTATATGTCACATATTATAACAAAAAAGAGGGATGTTTGTCATTGTCAGACTTAGCTGCACAATATTTTTAAAAAATTGAAACAAAGCCTGTGAAAATGCCATATTTTAGCATTGAAGGAAGTGGAAACAACTTTGAATAGTAGTAGGATTTTACATTCAATAGAATGCAAATGATAGTTTGTAAAGTATGTTAAGTTCTAAAATCTGCTGTATTTGGAGCATATACGAAGTCTGTTAGAAAAGTATCCAACTTTATTATTATTAATTTGTGAACACCTGATGGATTTGAAACAAGTACGCTTGTATTAGTCGAAGTTGAACTTTCCTGCACATGCATGAATTTTTTCCCACCTGCCGATAGCGTCAGTCACTGGGACACAGCGTTTGAGTGAGTTAGCGCGCAATGGTGGTGCGCAAGAGAAATGGCAAAGCAACTGCAGCAGCGCTACTGCATCAAATTTTGCCAGAAACGGCGCGGCAAAGTGGAAATCATTGGGAAGATCAAGATGGCTTTTGATGACGACACAATAAGCCGCACACAGATTAAGTAGTGATACAATTGCTTTTAAGACTGCCACACATCGATAGAGAGCAGGCCACGCTCCGGTCGGCCATTAACATGCCGAAATGACCAAATCATTACCAAAGTGAGCATTTTGATGATGCAGTACCGCCGTGGGACTATCCAGGAAATTGCAGAAGAGGTGGGCATCAGTACATTTCATTATGGCAGAAGATTTGGCCATGAAGTGCCAAATACTACTCATGGTGGAGCAAAAGCAACTTCATGTTGAAGTCTCGCAAGACATGCTGGATTTCACAAGCAGTGACCCTAACTTCATGAGCCCCATTATAACTGGGGCAAGTCTTGGGTGTACGGGTACAACCCAGAAACCAAATCCCAGTCGTCAGAGCGGAAGCATTCCACGTCACCAAGACCAAAGAAGGCCGGCCAAGTGCGCAGCAGCGTCATAGTTATGCTGAGTGCTTTCTTTGACTCCTACGGTGTGGTACACCGTGAGTATGCACCACAAGGTCAAACAATCACCAAAGAGTACTACAGGGATATCCTTCGTCGCCTACGTGACGCTGTGCAGCGCACGAGACCCAAGTTCTGGTCAACAGGAAACTGGCGCATCCATCACGACAATGCTCTTGCGCATTCCCCGCACTTTGTTCAGACTGTATTGGCAAAAGGTCAGACTCCTGTAGTTCAGGCTCCTTGCTCTCCTTATATGGCCTCCTACGGCTTCTGGCTGTTTCCCAAACTAAAGAGGACATTGAAAAGAAAGTGATTTCAGGCAAGGGAGAACATTATGGCTATTATGGCGGCAGCTGAGCTAAACTCCATTCCAAAAGAGGCTTTCTCAGAATGCCTCTAACAATGGCAGCACTGCTGGGAGAAGTTTGTAGAGTCCCAAGGGGACACTTTTGAGGGGGATGAGGTTTCCAACACTCCAATTATGCCACTTTTTTATTACACCAAAGGTTGGATACTTTTCTAACAGACCTCATAAGTGGATAGATAGATAGATATGTCGGGTTTAATGTCCCAAAACCACAATATGATTATGAGAGACGCCGTAGTGGAGGGCTCCGGAAATTTCAGACCACCTGGGGTTCTTTAACCGGCACCCAAGTCTGAGCACATGGGCCTACAACATTTCCGCCTCCATCGGAAATGCAGCCGCCGCAGCCGGGATTCGAACCCGCGACCTGCGGGCCTCATAAGTCTATATAACGAGCTTTTAGACTAAAAAATGAATCTATGTGGGGGTAATGCCTCCACCTAACCTTGCAGTGGGGCTCTGCAGCAGTGTGGATTACACCTGAGTATCCCTTGTCACGGCTCAGCACCGATTCCCTGCGAAACCACTTTTACAAAAAGTTATATGCGACTTAATTTACACTTGAAGAGGTGCTTTCATGTGAAGGCTTAGCATCCCTCCACTGCAGTGAAACCAGCTTTACAATTGGTTTCACTGCATACGGATTAATATGCACCTATACATCTGTCTCAAGTAATTTGTAATTTTCAATAATATAAATTTGATTCAAAGCGAGTTCAAATACTGCATTTTTTCATTTAAATATTTGCACAAGCCTAATACTCAAGACCTTGAAAGTACTAGTAGCCAAGGTTCAGGCTTCCAGCTATTCTCAGTGCTTCCTCCTTTAGGAGCCGAATACTGGCTGCACAACCAGCCTCTCATTTTGTTTGAAGCTAATAAGAAAGGGCATAGTCCAACTCTCCATAAAAGATGGGCCCTCCATATGCAAGTTTTCGTGTCATCATTTTGGAGTCAGAACTGGAGATTCTTCTCCCAGCTGTCTTGAAATTCCAAGAGGTGCAGCTCGTAGTCTTTCCAGATGTGTAATGCCACCCAACAACTCCAATCTTTTTGGCTCCTGTGTAGAAGTGCATCATGTAACTAGCAAGTTACGGGGAAAATTTGGGAACAGTGGCTGCATGCATTCAAGATGTGTGTCACAAAAGCCCTGTAACCAATTGGTTTTTTTTAAAGGCTATTCATTTTCACTGTGCACTATCTTCATTTTTATTGCGCTTCTTTTTTTTTTTCACTGTCTAGAAGGAAATATTTCTGTCATTGCTTTTAGCAGTCTTGTAGCAGTAATAGTAAAATGCATATTTCGGCTGAAGCTGGGGCATTGGAGGAGAAGGGGTTTTGAGATATAATATTCAAAAGTATGACATTGTTGGAAATTTTAATACTTGACACTTGTGCGTAACTGCATGCTTCTGAGGCCCTTTATGGTTTCTACATACACATGCAAGCTGAAAAGTTGCAGGATCTGTGAATTCTGACGTCTGCACTAGTTTACGCTTCTATATAGCGTGTTGAGGCTGATGGTAATAATAAATTAAATAAGTTTTTAACACAAAAGTGTTTTATGCAAAGATCCACCAAGACTTTACTGATGTATTTTCATCATGGAAATGACGTCAGTAAAAAGTACCTGATCACATAGCGAACAAAGAAATGAAAAAAGTTCCGTTGATGGTAGTTGAACCCACGACTTGTGAATCTGTGATGATACCTGCCAGGTGCTGAACCGTGTTGCTGTCCCGCATGCCAGAGTATACACAGGTCTGTCTTTCAATTCTCACACTTTCCTCCCTCAACGGTTTCCCTTGGTGGAATGGTGTTGCTGTTTGGGAGCATTAAAGTAAAATAATTCAGCACGGCACTGACGATTTCAGAGTAGGAGCACTTTCGTAGTCTCTGCTTGCGCACGCTCGGCTTCCCTTCATCACAAAAAGACACTGCCACGGTGAAGTCCAGCAACATGTCAAATCTCACGATGGCTGGAGCCGGGGCTTTTTGACGGATGCCGGATGCATTGGTGAACTGTGTATTCACTACAGTACATCACTATGTCGAGCGTGTGCATGCATCAATGTGATGTCAGAATAAAAGGGAACTTGAAATTCTAGGCAGGGTTCCGCTACACCAGACAGAACCCTACTGTGGCGTATACATGAGCACAGAAGTAAGCTACACTATTACTGAGGACTGTAGGCCTTGCCGTTTCTCTCAAACGATGACTCTTTGAAAAGGTGCATATCGATTATCAGTGCTTATTATGTACAGTGCGGTCAACTGTAGAAGAGAAAATACTCGAATGATTACCATTCCTATTGCTGGCCTTCTAACTGTAGGTGTCTAATGAAACTATCTTCATGAATGTCACTAGTCTATTGAGGGCAGTAAGAACTGTCCACCACCACGCAAATCTAAGCCACTGTGCCTCTATAAGTGGTTTATTTCACCATAGAAAGCTTACGAAAGTGGACAGTGCTATCGCTGTGCATCATTATGTCCAATATATTGTCATAAACAGTATTGTTGGACTCCACTGTACTACAGCTACCACAAAAATTTAACCATGATCATGGATAATAATCATCAAGATGTGCCACCAGGTGTCAACGTGGGTGTATTCTTAGTTACAATAGCTGCCAGACATTAGTAGAGATTGTGCAAGCTCTCGTACATCAGTGTGCAATAAACATTCAGCTATTTCTATGAAGGCACATTTCACTTATGTGTTATGCAGATTCCTATGCAGGAGAGTTCAACCCTGTGTTTTTAATACTTTTTTTTGTTTTTTCTTTTTCGCTCATTGTTCACAGGTGAATAAAAAAAATAACCGCGGCATGACTGCCCTGAGCTTCGCTGTGCTGGTGCATGCAAGTCCTGCTGTAGTGCAGAGTCTCATGAGCAATGGTGCAGACTGCAACCTCTACATCAAGTGCTGGCATCAGACTATTCTTCACAGAGCCATATGCATCGCCAGTTATTATCAAGAATGGGAGTCTGTCAAGACTTTTGTGCGTTACGGGGGCAACCCATTTGGCCAAGACAGGATGGGCACGACTGTTGTGCAATATGCTATGTGCAAGAACAAGCCACTAGCCCTGTGGATGACACGTGCGAATCCATTTATGGGTGCACCCCGCTGGTGTGCCTGGCGGGTGCTGTACGAAAGTTGGTATGATTGTACGAACGAATTCAATGAAAAAATGCTGTCGGAGCTTTCTAGTGTTCCAACGCTTCAACGACTGTGCTCTCTAGCATTCCGTTCGAAATATGCCCGCCACCTCGATTCTCCAGCGTTCGCTTTATCTCTGCCACCTCGGTTGCTACAGCATCTGCGCCTCTGCAATCTGTAGTCAGTAGGGGCAGATTGGCGACATCGAATGTGTGCAAGTAAAGAGGCTAGCCATTGTTTTTAAGCAACTATTTATAGTGAGCATGACATTGCCTGTGTGAATAGCAAAAACTTATGTACAAACCTGAATGCAGTTGTTAGTAGGTGCTGGTGACTAAAGCTACAAGAGGTTTACTTAATACAAGTGTTTTGTTCTTTTATGGACAGTTATACTGGCTCGAAGAGTCTTTACACTCATATAGAGCTTTGAACAATCATCATCAGCCTGACTACATTCACTGCAGGACAAAGGCCTCTCGCATGTTCCGCCAGTTAACTCGGTCCTGTGCTTGCTGCTGCCAATTTATACCCGCAAACTTCTTAATCTCATCTGCCCACTTAACCTTCTGTCTCCCCCTAACCCGCTTGCCTTCTTTGGGAATCCAGTTAGTTACCCTTAATGACCAGCGGTTATCCTGTCTACGCGCTACATGCCCGGCCCATGTCCATTTCCTTTTCTTGATTTCAACTATGATATCCTTAACCTCCGTTTGTTTCCTAATCCTCTCTGCTCTCTTCTTGTCACTTGAAGTTACACCTACCATTTTTCTTTCCATTGCTCGCTGCGTCGTCCTCAATTAAGCTGAACCCTCTTTGTAAGTCTCCAGGTTTCTGCTCCGTAGCTAAGTATCGGAAAATTAAATACAGCTGTTATATACCTTCCTCTTGAAGGATAGTGGCAATCTACCTGTCATAATTTGAGAGTGCTTGCCAAATGTGCTCCACCCTATTTTTATTCTTTTAGTTACTTCAACCTCGTGGTTCGGCTCCGCGGTTATTACCTGCTCTAAGTAGACACAGTGTTTTACAACTTGAGGTGCACTATTTATGTGCTGCTCTCTTCCAAGGTTGTTGTACATTACTTTCGTTTTCTGCAGATTAATTTTAAGACCCACCTTCTGCTCTCCTTGTCTAACTCCGTAATCATGAATTGCAATTTGTCCCCTGAGTTACTCAGCAATGCAATGTCATTGGCAAAGTGCAGGTTACTAAGGTACTCTCCATTAACTCTTATCCCTAACTGTTCTCATTCTAGGCCTCTGAAAACCTCCTGTAAGAACGCGGTAAATAGCATTGGGGAGATTGTATCCCCCTGTCTTACATTCTTCTTGATTGGTATTCTGTTGCTTTCTTTATGAAGCACTATGGTAGCAGTTGATCTCCTGTAGATTTCTTTCATGATTTTTATATATGCTTCATCGACGCGCTGATTCTGCAGTGTCTGCATGACTGCTGATATTTCTACTGAATTAAACGCCTTCTCGTAATCTATGCAGGCTATGTATAGTGGTTGGCTATATCCTGAGCATTTCTTCATTACCCGATTGATAGTATGAATGTGGTCGATCGTTGAGTAGCCTGTTCGAAATCCTGCTTGTTCCTTTGGTTGATTGAATTCTAATGTTTTCTTAACTCTGTTAGCAATCACTGGGGCTCTTCGATTTTCAGGCCTCTGGCAGCTCTCTGGCAGCCAGAGGTAGCCAGAGGGTCAGTCAGCTAGTTCCAGTCTGGACAAAAAACAGCGCCGTGGTCACTTGTGTGGGGAACCCGAGACAACCCGAAGCTGCCCGAAGATCGCAAAATCGAACGCTGGGACAGCTGGCATAAACTGAAACAAACTCCACCGTCATGGCATAAGACGAAACAATGCGCCGCGTGTGTGTTGGTTTTTTCTGCATTGTCCGCTTGGAAATACGTAGCTAAGCTCGCCAAAAAGCTGAAATAATATCCTCGAGCATACGCATTTGGGGTACGACTTTGTATGCTCGCACGATCACTCGCCGCGTCCGTGAACGAAACAGCCAGCTGGCGCACGCTGCCTCGAGAACGATGCAAGGTGAGCTGCCGCGACGCTGACAGCTTAACAAGCTCACGTCTCTTTAGTACATGTATCAGTCACTGCACAACACGACGGGAAGTCACGCGAAAGTGATCGTGTCTCCAAAAGAGCTTGAAGATATATACCTGCTCAGCTGTCGCGTATTATACGTCACAAACACACGTTGACCAACTTACGTTTTTGTCTAAAGTTTATAATATGCGCAGGTATCGGTACCACGAGTGCGCGTCGTATATAAACATTTGCATGACACGTTCTTGACCCATTTTTAGAACTTTCCTCTGCCTGTTTTCCAGTCCTAAGTGGCACTTAACAAATATCATGTATATCAGCTTTGATTCGACCTACTAGGTCATAGTACGTACTGCACGGCATTATTGCAAAGAGGTGAAAAAAGACAAAGCCAACGATGAAATGGGCCACGAAAGGATGTATACATTACTAAATCCATTCTCCTTTTTTTTCTCGCGCCGTATCGTATATTATCATACCACATATGCAGGCTCATGGATAGAAAGGTGCGCACGCTGTTTGCGACCAGCGAGCATCGCCAACAGTCGCAATCTAAGGTTTTCTATCACCATCGAAGATGAATCAAGTAGTCAGGACAAAGGTTCTAAGAGGTTCTCGTATGCAAACGTACGACGGAGCGAGCTAGTTCGCACAATCGTCTTCACTAAGTGCACAGAAAGCAGGCACAGCTTCACAAACGACTACTACGAAAAAAAAAAATTATAAACTCCGAAGTTGTCTCCATGCGTGCGTACGAGCGTGTACTACGTAGATTACATTTAAGGCATGTGCACGTCGCAGTCAACAGGCAACAGTTCGCCGCGTTGTTCACGGGAGGAAGCTTCACAGGAAACATAACGAAAGCGATGAACAGTAGCTTCAAACACTCGCCGCCACTCGTAATCGCCTCATCTCGCAAGGCGGGACAGGCTTTAGAAGATAGCCACTAGTAATGATGAGCGAAGGCACAGTCCTCAAGCGCCCACATTGCTATCCATCGAGTCCTCACAAAGATGGCATCGAGTGCGCATCGTACCTTTTCGGCGTCTGCTGGCCTGAAACATGCCCAAAACTTTCAGAAAGCTTCCACGAATAAATTGTCCTGGAAGCGTCTGGCGACCCTCGGGCTCCCCGCAGGTCTCCATAACCGTCCAACCCGAGAAAAAGGAACGCCAACCGGAAGTGCGTCGCGGGTGGACGGAGCTGCCCGAGAAAAACAAGCGCGCTCTGGCTGGCTCTGGCAGCCCGCGGGTAGCCAGAAATGGAAAATCGAAGAGCCCCACTTTTGTAAATAGCTTGTATACTACGGTGAGCAAGCTGATCGGCCCGTAATTCTTCAAGTCCTTGTGGTCTCCTTTCTTATGTATTATGATGATGTTAGCATTCTTCCAAGTCTCTGGTACTCTTCCAGTCAGGAGACACCTCGTAAACAGGGTGGCTAGTTTTTCTAACTCAATCTGTCCTCCATCTTTCAGCAGATCTGATGTTACCGGATCCTCACCAGCAGCTTTGCCTCTTTGCATGCTCTCCAAGGCTTTTCTGACTTCTATCATTACTGGTGGGGTGTCATCTGGGTTACTGCTAGTTCTTATAGTATTAAGGTCGTAGTTATCACAGCTACTGTACAGATCTCTGTAAAACTCCTCCACTCTTAACTATCCTATCCATATTGGTAGTTATTTTGCCTTCTTTCTCCCCTAGTGCATGCATCCAATTTTCGCCTATCCCAAGTTTTCTCTTCACTGCTTTGACGCTTCCTCTGTTTTTCAGAGCGTGTTCAATTCTCTCCATGCTATACCTTCTTACATCGAATACCTTTTGCTTATTAATCAACTTCGAAAGCTCTGCCAGTTCTATTTTGTCTATTGTACTCGAGACTTTCATGCTTTGATACTTTTTAATGAAATGCTTTGTTTCCTGGGAAAGCTTGCAAGTGTCCTGTCTAACTACCGTGCCTCCAACTTCCACTGCACACTCCGTAATGATACTCGTCAGATTATCATCATTGTATCTATGCTAAGGTTGGTTTCCTCAATAAGAGCCGAGTACCTATTCTGGAGCGAGACTTGTACTTTCTTGTACTTTCCCTATCAGTGCTAGCTCATTGATTGGCTTCTTGCGTATCAGTTCCTGTCGTTCCTTCTTTAAGTCTTGGCGAATTCGAGACCGTAACATTCTATGGTCACTGCATCGTACCTCGCCAACCACTTCTAATCCTGCACGATGCCTGGGTATGCACTCATTATAAAGTCTATTTCATTCTTATTTTCGCCATTAGGGCTCCTCCATGTCCACTTACGGTTTCCTCGTTTTCGGTAGAAGGTATTCAAAATCCGTAAATTATTGCATTCTGCGAATTCTACGAGTAGCTCTCCTCTGGCATTTCTAGTACCGATGCCATAATCTCCTACTGCCTGGTATCCAGCCTGCTTCTTCTCTACCTTTGCATTAAAATCTCCCATCAGTATAGTATACTGTGTTTGTACCTTACTCATTGCCGATTCTATGTCTTCATAAAAGCTTTCAACTGAAGCGTTATCATGGCTGGATGTAGGCGCGTAAGCCTGTACCACCTTCATCTCGTATCTCTTATTGAGTTTCATTACGATATTTAGCACCCTTGCATTAATGCTATAGTATTCCTCTACGTTGCCAGCTATGTTTCTGTAAATTAGGAACCCTGCAGCCAGTTCTCTTCTGTCAGCCAAGCCCCAATAGCAAAGGACGTGCCCATTCTGTAGCACCGTATAGGTCCTCATCTGTCCTCCTGACCTCACTGAGCCCTATTATATCCCATTTAACACCCTGTAGCTCCTCGAATAGTACAGCTAGACTTGCCTCACTAGATAAAGTTCTAGCGTTAAACGTTGTCAAGTTCAAGTGAATAATAATTTTATTTTAATCGTTCATTGTTCATTTCGGGGGAAAAGCAAGGAAGTATTATGTCATGTGCAGGAGTTCTTGGTATCAACTTATCACCGGGAGAATGTCCTTGTGGTTGCTGCACAATCTTAGTAAATAAGATGTGTGAAGAAGTGCATTCATGAATATCATGGCTACCTGATTTTTGTACCTGTTAAGAAGATAGGGCCGTGCATCTCTCATTATTTCCATGCTTGGGCTACCCTGATTATACAGTTAACGTTAATGGCAACAAACTTTGATACTGTTTTAAAACGCAGTGCACACTGCATTTCAAAGTGATTACAGGATTTTTAGCTACACAGCCGGTAGGTTTTCATTGGGGAAAAAAGGCAAGGTATGCCGAATGTAAGTGAAAGAATGGAA